TCTCAAAATGCTAGTCCACCTCCCAAAATGCACACCCAAGGCCCCTTTATTATACTCTAACTCGGGAATTTCACAAGAAACAATAAACAACATATTCAACAATGTGTGGGAGGCATCCACAAGTTGACCTCTAAAGAAAAGAAAATCAAAATTTTGAGAATTTTGGGGGAGTTTTTGTTCTCCCTTCTTTTCTATTTTTTTTTTTCAACATCATTGCCCTCGCCTCTTTTAACTGTGAGCGGCGGCTCTTTCTTTATTCGAAACGTGTGGCTTATTATGCCACTTATTACACATATTACAAGTAGAGCTAATTCCCTAATAGAGTTTCCTTTTGGGGAGGAGAGGAGGCACATTAAGGGCACAAGGGGCCGCAATTCGATTCAAACATATCCTACTTTGGGAAAATTTGACAATATCCTATGCTAGACGTGCAATTGAACATTCATCGGCTTTCATTTCATATACACCAATGCAACCAGGATTAACAGACCTCTAGATGACCCCAACTCTTGCATACACCCTTCTAAAAGAACTTTTACTCATCACTCAAGAGTCAAGCAAGCAAAACATATTAGCACCATCATTTGAGTCTCATCCAAGGGCATTTTTTCAAATTATTTTTTTTTTTTGTTTTTTTTTTACGAGGGATATTTACAGCATTAGGCTAATCTAGGCATAAAAATAAACATAACTATACAACTAAATAAAGAGATAAGAGATTCGGATTCAAGGGATTTGGATGTTAGGTAAAAGGGAACAACAATCATGCAAAATCAACATTAGGCTAACACGAGAACAAAACATGAACCAAAGACACATGAGAAAACACTCCCCCCCAAGCTATCATGAACATTGTCCCCAATGTTAAAGCAATGCAAGCACAAAGAGAAGGGGAGGAAGGAACTAACTCATTGGTTCAGGCCCCCTTGGGAGCTTGAGCCCCCGGGGTAGAGATGCCGGTACACATTGTGGAAATCGCCCAACTCTGATCTGAGACTCTCGAAACTTGTTCTCATATTGTCAAAAGAAGTTCTCATGTCTTCGTTTGACTTCCTTAAGGTCTCAAATTCGGTGGTCATGCGGGAAAAATTTGCATTCATGTGGGCGATTTGCTGCTTAAAAGAGAGGTAAGGGTTGTTTTCACTCATCCCTTGACCTTGGTACCCCTCTTGGTGCCCTTGTTGGAACTCGTGTTGTTGATCCAAATGTTGTTGCTGAAATTGTTGATGATGTTGTTGTTGTTGATGTTGTTGATGTTGTTGATGATGTTGATGATGTTGATGTTGTTGATGTTGTTGATGATGTTGTTGTTGTTCACCCCCTTAGGCTTGGTCATCTTCTCCACCCGGAATCCACTCAAAATCCGGCTCAAAGACCCAATTCTCGGGGTTGTAGATGACCGTGGCTTCCGGGTTGGGCAAGGTTGCATAGGGGAACCTACTTACCAACCATGTGTAGGTCCTAGCCCCCTTCATCTTCCTCCAACCAATGCATAGCCTTGAGGGAGCGGATGTCAAGTGTTGTTGGTCCAGGAACGATCTTCAAATCTGCAAAATTAAGATCAAGAAAAACAGCAATAATAGTGATCATCCCCCCAATTGTTATCACTCCTCTCCCCGTGGATACGTCATATAGGTGGTCTACAAGCCATGCCCCTAAATTCAACCTTTCATTACCCTTACACAAGTGCCAAAGAAAAAGCAACTCTCGGTTAGAAACTACACCCGAACTATCTCCCCTAGCAAAAATAGTGTTAGCTATTAGGCGTTGGGATAGTCTAAAGGCGGGATGTACTATGGCCGTGGCCTTGTCGGTCCTAGGATCTCTAGTGAATAAGCCGGTGATTTTTCTCCAAAAAGATCCCGAGTTATGCTTACGGGAAGGCTTATCTTTAGGTCCAAATTTGCCATCCGTTGGCCACCTAAATGCTTGGTTTACTTGTTCTATGGTCATCTTGTGATGGGTGTTCATCAATTGGAAGGTCAAGTAAGGGGGGTTGTTGTGGTTATCTCGGTGGACATATAGTGAGGAGAGGAATTCTAAGGTAAGCCGTTTGTAGGTGTTTGCATGCATTTCTAAGCAATTTGGGACACCGGTTTGAAAGAAAATTTGCCTAACATCGTTCTCTACACCTAAGGCTTCGGCTACTTCATGGTTGTAAAATTTTGTTGGCCGAATTCTTCTCCTACTAATTCTTAGGTAGTTGTTCATGAAATCCGAATTATTAAAGACAATACCTAAGGTGTCCACTTGCGGTGGTTCAACGGTTGGTGGAGGCGGAGGGTTTCTAAGCCTAGCGGAGGAGGTGTTTCTTGGTTGGTTTCTTCTTGACATGATAAAAAAAAAAAAAAAAAAAAAAATTCAAGAACACTTCAAGTAAGCACAACACCTAATGAACAAGGACTTGAAACACACAAGGCTCTAAGTCTTCCACCTAACCAACACACAACAAGAGCAATCCCGAAAATTTACCAACAACAATCTTATCAATTCAAACGATCCAACACCAAAATTGTCAATGCTCTCAATTTACCAACAACAATTCAACAATCCAACACCAAAAGCATCCATACTCACAAAAACCTATCACCAACCAAATTTTCAATGCTCACAATTCACCCAAAAATATTTTTTTTCTTTTATACTACTAAACTAACAATAATCACAAATACTCAACAAAATGTCAACAATTTCAACTATTACTACTCAAAATATCAACCAACAAGCACTTAAACTATATAGGAAGAGCTTGAGATTAGAAAGATTATACCAAGAATGTCGTGGGTGTAGAACCCGCAAATGAACCTTTCTAGTACTCCTTGTTGTTGATTTAAGGCCCTTGTTCACCCAATTTGCTTAGAAAAAATCAAAATTCAAGAAACCCCCAAATCAATTTTGAAAGTTAGGGTTTGAGGAAATTTTGAAATTTTGGGGTTTTGATGGTGAAAAGGGGTAGTAATTTGTGAAAAATGTTGAAAGAGGAGTGAAAATTGTAGTTTAGAGTAAGGATTTGAGTGAAGAATGGAGTTTGAGGGGTGGGAATAAGGTGGTACGGAGAAAAAAAAAATAGTAGTATGGAGTATGGAGTAGGAATGAGAAGGAGATGTTGAGTGAGGAAGAGGAGTGAGAAACGTGGGGGGGGGGGTTGCTGTATGCTTGTTATTATTATTTTTTTTTCAAGGAAATTGGCAAATTGGTGCTTAAACTAAATCTGCACGGACATGCGATGTTCTACACGGACGTGCAGATTTCTGGAGAAATAGCAGCCTCTTCTGTCTTCGAATGCACGGGCGTGCAAAGGTTGGCACGGACGTGCAACCTGGCACGGACGTGCAACCTGGCACGGACGTGCGAAATCTCATAATTCAGTCGTTCTTTTTCTGTATGCTTCTGCCTTCATCTGCACGGACGTGCGATGTTTGCACGTCCGTGCATACCTGATGGTGCACGATTTCTTTTTATATATATATATATATTATTTTATTTTATTTTATACTCCTCCTTTCAACAAATACCTACAAAAGAAATTAAAAAGGAAAAGGTTAGGAATAATAAAATAAAACAAATGAAATATTAGTTTATGAGAGAGAGTGAGGAACTCGGGTTGCCTCCCGGAAGCGCTTCTTTAACGTCACTAGCTTGACGACATTGCGGGATCAAATGTTAGTGAGGAATATCGAACTCATCAAGGTGAACAACTTTGACTTCTTCATTCACAAAACCGTCAAAGTATGCCTTTAGCCTTTGGCCATTTACTTTGAACGGTTCACCATTTTCCTTGGAAATTTGGATTGCAACATATGGAAACACCTTCTTGACAGTAAAAGGTCCACTCCATCTTGATTTTAGCTTACCCGGAAACAACTTCAACCGGGAATTGAATAGTAAGACCTTGTCACCTTCCTTGAACTCTCTTTTGTTGATATGCTTGTCATGCCAAGCCTTGGTCTTTTCCTTGTAGATCTGTGCATTCTCATATGCATCCAATATTAGCTCTTCCGAGGGATGGAGGTCAAGCGACCTCTTTTCACCGGCACTTTGAAGGTTAAAGTTCAACGTTTTAATAGCCCAATGAGCACGATGCTCAAGTTCTACCAGTAAATGGCATGATTTCCCATATACAAGCTTGTAAGGGGTGGTGCCAATGGGAGTCTTGAATGCGGTGCGGTAGGCCCATAGCGCATCTCTAGCTTCGTAGACCAATCCTTTCTAGACCTATCCACCGTCTTCTCTAAGATCACCTTTATCTCCCGGTTTGAAATCTCGGCTTGACCACTTGTTTGTGGGTGGTAAGCCAATGACACCTTGTGCCTCACACCGTACTTCCCAAGAAGAGCTTGGAAGGACCGCTTTGCAAAATGCGAACCTCCATCACTAATGACAGCACGTGGCACCTAGAACCTTGGAAAAATGACCTTCTTGAAGAGTTTGACCACCACCTTAGCATCATTAGTAGGAGATGCAGCCGCTTCTACCCACTTTGACACGTAATCGACGGCCACAAGAATGAATTTATTCCCATAAGAGGTCGGGAAAGGCCCCATAAAATCTATGCCCCATACATCAAAAATCTCCAACTCAAGAATGTTGTTTAATGGCATTTCACTTCTTCTTGAAATATTGCCGGTTCTTAGACACCGGTCACAAGCTTTCACTACACCCCACACATCTTTGAACATTGAAGGCCAATAGAAACCACATTGCAAGATTTTCGCCAAGGTTTTGTTAGCACTCATATGTCCTCCACAAGGTGAGGAGTGACACATTGTGATAACATCTTCAATCTCATCATCCGGGACACACCTTCTAAAAAGGCCATCAACACCTTGTTTAAAGAGTAAGGGGTCATCCCAAAAGTATTGGCAAACATCATGAAGAAACTTCCTTTTTTGTTAATAGGTGAGGTCGGGAGGAAGAATAGAGCAAGACAAATAGTTTGTAATGTCCGCAAACCATGGTGCCGGTGCTTGAAGGATAGAAAATAGTCGATCATCCGGAAATTAATCATCAATTGGCAAATTATCAAGATCACCTACGAAGATAGGAAACCGTGAAAGATGATCGGCCACCACATTTTCGGCACCCTTTTTGTCTCTAATCTCGATATCATAATCTTGCAAGAGAAAGACCCACCGAATCAATCTTGGCTTAGGTTCCTTATTGGACAAGAGGTACTTCAAGGCCGCATGGTCGGTAAAGACTATGACCTTAGAGCCCAACAAGTAGGACCTAAACTTCTCAATTGCATGAACAATGGCTAGAAACTCCTTTTCCGTGGTTGTGTAATTTCTTTGTGCCTCATCCAATGTTTTGCTAGTGTAATAGATAGCATGGAGATTCTTGTCCTTCCTTTGTCCAAGAACGGACCCAACAGCAAAATCCGAAGCATCACACATAAGTTCGAAAGGAAGCTCCCAATTAGGGGGTTGAATGATAGGAGCCGAAATCAAGGCCTCCTTCAACCTATCAAATGCTAGCAAACAATCATTAGTAAACACAAAAGGGGCATCTTTTACCAACAATTGAGTGAGCTGCTTTGCAATTTTTTAAAAATCCTTTATGAACCGGCAGTAAAAACCCGCATGTCCAAGAAAGCTCCTTATCCCCTTCACATTTGTAGGGGGTGGGAGGCGCTCAATTACTTCAATCTTGGCACGATATACCTCAATGCCCCTACTAGAAATCACATGACCAAGAACAATACCCTCCTCTACCGAAATGACATTTCTCCCAATTCAAAACTAAGTTCACCTCTTAACATCTTTTTAACACTTTAATCAAATTTGAAAGACAAGTGTCAAAAGATGAACCAAAAACAGAAAAGTCATCCATGAATACCTCAATTGATGATTCGAGCATGTCGGAAAAAATAGACATCATACACCTTTGAAATGTGGAAGGTGCATTACAAAGTCCAAATGGCATTCTTCGATATGCAAAGGTGCCAAAAGGACATGTGAATGTAGTCTTTTCTTGATCCTCGGGTTGGATTGGGATTTGAAAGAATCCCGAGTATCCATCCAAGAAGCAATAATGACTATGTGATGCTAGTCTTTCCAATATTTGATCAATGAAGGGGAGTGGGAAGTGGTCTTTCCGGGTGGATTTATTTAATTTTCGATAATCAATGCACATCCTCCACCCGGTGACCAACCTCGTAGAAATGGTCTCACCCTTATCATTTTTTATGATGGTCATGCCTCCCTTTTTAGGCACAACTTGAACCGGGCTAACCTACTTACTATCGGAGATAGGGTAGATTATGCCCGCCTCAAGAAGTTTTAAAACTTCCTTTTTCACCACTTCCTTCATGTTGGGATTGAGCCTTCTTTGGTGCTCAATCGAGGAAGCATGATCATCATCAAGTAGAATTTTATGCATGCATATGGTGGGACTTATCCCCTTAATGTCATCAATTTTGTACCCAATGACATCTCTATACTCCCTTAAAACAACAAGGAGTTTCTCAAGAGAGGTGTCATCGAGCTTAGCATTGACAATAACGGGATAACTCTCACTATCATCAAGAAAAGCATATTTAAGTAGAGGGGGAAGGGGTTTAAGTTCAACCTTAGGAGGAGGCGTAGTCCTCTCCTCTTTTGCCTCCATGTTAAGTACTTCAAATTTCATCACCTCGTGGGCCAAAGGTTGGTTGAGTAAGAGATCATACCCCTTTGCTTCTTCACCCTCCTCAACTAAGCTTCCCGTTAGGGTAGCTTGTAAAGGATCTCTTTCATACAATCTTTCTCGGAACTCTTCTAAGTCCCTCTCCAATGTGTCAATTCTATGAACCTCATCAATCAATGGCTTCTTCAAAGTTTGTGAGAATGAAAATGAAATTTTCTCATCTCCCACATTCAAAGTCAATCTTCCTTCCTTCATATCAATCACCACTCCCGCGGTGTTCAAAAATGGTCTCCCCAAAATGAGGGGTACTCTTGCATCTTCTTCCATTTCCATTACCACAAAATCACATGGCACAAATACTCTTCCAACTTGAACCGGCACATCTTCAAGAATCCCCAAGGGTAGCCTAACCGTGTGATCGACTAGTTGTAAGGACATTCTTGTTGGTTTCAAGTCTCCAACTTTCAAACTCTTTGCAATATAATAGGGCATCAAGCTCACACTTGCCCCAAGATCACATAAAGCATCCATAGCTTCCAAATCTCCAATCTTCACCGGTATTGCATAGCTACCGGGGTCACCAAGCTTTTGGGGAAGCTTGTTTTGAATGATTGCACTCACCTCCTTAGGAAGGGAGATGGTTGCTCTCTCTTCAAGCCTACTCTTGTTGGATAGAAGATCCTTCAAAAATTTTGCATAGGTAGGCATTTGTGACATAGCATGAAGAAAGGGGATGTTCACTTGAAGTCCTCTCATGACTTCAAGAAATTTTGAAAACTTCTCATTCAACTTTTTCTCTACAATTCTATGAGGAAACGGAATGGGGGGCTTATATACTCTCATAGGGGGCTTTTCTATTCTTTCTTCATCTCCCTCATCGTTTTTTGTGGCTCCCTCATCACTCTTTTGTTGCTCTTTCCTCTCAACTTCAACTACTTCATTTTCAAAATCATCTTCACCTCTCACCACAACTCCCTCATCTCTCTTTTGTGGCTTCTCTTCACTCATAATCGGGCCCTCATAACCTCTCCCCAATCTCAAAGTAATAGCCTTAGCTTGCTCCCTTGGGTTCACTACCGTTGAGCTTGGAAAGTGACCACTAGGATTGGAGGATGAACTTCCAACCTATTGTGCAATTTGAGCCAATTGGCTCTCCATTATCTTGTTGTGCGCTTGAAGTTGTTGGCTGTTTACATTCATATCCGCATTGCTCCTTATTTGTTGTGTCATGAAAGTTTCAAGAACGGATTCAAGGCTAGTCTTTTGAGGAGGTGGAGGAGGAGGAGTGGGTTATATTGTGATCTTTGATGGTTTTGATCCCTTTGGTTAGGGTGGCGGTATGGAGCTTGTTGATTTTGAGAATGGGATTGGTTGTAGTGGTTTTGAGGTTGGTTTTGGTTTTGGTTATAGTTATTTTGTGGGGGGCCTTGGTTGTGTTGCTTCCATCCCATGTTTTGTTGGGGTTTTCAACTTTGATTGTAGGATTGGGAGTATTGCTCATTTCTTTTCCCAATTGTCGCTGCTTGCTCTTGATTTGTTGAGTTGCAATAAGAGGACAAGTGATCATTTCCTCCACAAGTCTCACAAGACATGACTTGTGAGGAAGAGCTTGAGGGTGTGAGGGTGGCCTGATCTAGCTTGTGAGCTAGCATATCAAAATTTGATGCAATAAGATTTATTGCACTAAGATCATGAATTCCGCCCTTCTTTGTTTGAGGTTGCCTTCGGTCACCTCCATATGCATAATGCTTGGCCACTTCTTCAATCATCTTATATGCATCATCCACCGATAGCTTTTTGAGGCTACCACCGGCCCCGGAATCAAGGTTGTCCCTTGAAATAGGAGTAAGACCGTCATAGAAGCTTTGTACAATGATCCATGATGTAAAACCATGGTGGGGGAATTTCCTTGTGTAATCTTTGAAACGCTCCCAAGCTTCACTCAAGGTTTCATCAATGTCTTGATTGAAATTTGTGATCTTTCCTCTCAATTCGGCGGTCTTTTTCGGAGGACAATACTTTCCAAGAAAGGCTTTAGTGACTTCGTCCCATGTACTCAATGATCCCTCTTCAACCGTTCTCAACCAATGCTTTGCTTTATCACGGAGGGAGAATTGAAAACATGTGCATACGGATGAACTCTTCCGAAATTTTGTTTTGCTTGATGGTTGTACACAACTTAAGAAAGTTGTCCAAATGAGCAAAAGGACACTCATGAGGACTACCTCCGAATTGATCGCTTTGAATCAGACGGATGAGTTGAGGTGAAAGCTCAAAGTTGTTTGCATTTGTGGTGGGAAGACGTATGCCACTCCGAAGTTGGAATGCGTTGGGGTGGACATAGTCTCGTAGGAGAGGTTGTGGAGGATTCTCTCCCATGTTATCTTCTTCGTTAGCTCCAAAAACCTCTTCCGGATCGGAATCCGAATATACAATCGAAAACTCGGGTGTGCCGTGCAAGAGTCTCCTCACGTTTCTCAAAGTCCTATTTAGCTCTGGATCAATGGGAATAAGCGGTGATTGCTTACTCTTTCGTGTCATGCAAAGTCAAACAAAGCTAAGAAAAACGTTAGCAATGACTATCACAAGTTAAACACACAAAAACAAGAAAATAAGGCAAGAAAACTACTATACATATACACACATCTAGTCTCATTCAACAATAATACATTCAATGTGACTTTGCCTCCCCGACAACGGCGCCAAAATTTGATAGGCCGTCATTGAGCCTACCAAAATATATAATTCCTATCTTGGTCTCACTAACTAATAGCAAGGGTAATAAAGGGTCGAAATTGGGTTGGTTTTGAGTAACTTCTACTAATTCAATTCAACTAAAACTAAGAGGAGATTAACAATATTTAGAGGAATCTAGGTCTTGGGTTATACCACTCAACTTCATCACAATTCACAATTAGCATGCAAAAAACAAGGTAAATTAATGGGATAAATTAGGGGAAGTCATCTAAGGCACCCAACTACTCTCTCAGTCTAGAGGGATTACTTGAATCATGAATACAACCTACTCTCGTGGTTACAAAGAATAAAACAAGTGTTAAAGCATAATCACGATGACACAAACATTCCCTTGACCGGAAATTCCTATACTCATGGCATTTCGGGTCAATCAAGCACAAGGGAGCTAACTCAAGTTCATCTCTCGATCCTTCGTTGAGAAAGCTTGGATAAATAGTTCTAGCAATGGCCATATACAAGAACTAAGCAATTAAACCACTTAAGCTCAACTAATTAACATCCCACAACAACCAAATTATTACATGCAACAAGTAATTAGTGACTACATTGAGGGTTTTACCCAAACCCTAGAAATTAGACTACTCACAATCCATGGAGATTAGAGCAATTAAAGATTTCAAGCAATTCATGAACAAGTTCAAACTAAGGACTAAGCTAATTAACAATCTAAACATGCAAGAACTAGCAAATAATTAATAACAAAGTAAAGAGAAGTAGAAAAGATGAGTAAGAAATGGTTACTATGAAGCTTCAAAGTGAGAAACAATGGTGGAAATTGTCTTCTACAATGGTTGAAATTGAATATTTCCAAGCTAATAATTAGAATCTAACTAATGACTTGAGAATTTAATGTTCTAAGATTGCAAAACTAAGAGAAAGCTCTAAAAACCTTGTTGCCCGTACAAATGAGCTCAAAGGGGTATTTATAAGACCCCCAAATAAAAAGGACGGAAAAACCGAGGAAAGAGTTCGACTGCAGGTCTGCACGGACGTGCCAGATTTGGCACGAACGTGTAGAAGGGTCAGAAAGGAGGCAGAAGCTACTGCCAAGAATCGAGCAGGTCTGCACGGACATGCTGATTTTGGCACGGACGTGCAGCCACATCTGCACGGACGTGCCTAATTAAGCACGGTCGTGCAGGACTTGGCAGAATGTTGTAACTTTCTGGAGCCTCCTGCACGGACGTGCAAGGTTTGGCACGGCCGTGCAGGGTCTTCTAAGCCCTTTTTCCATCTTTTCTTCTATATTGCTCCTTTCCTTGGCTTCTTTCTACCATCTTCTTGCTTTTAACCTCGGCTTTGTATCTATGGGCTCCATTTGGTCGTCTTTGAACCTAGAACCTCAACAAAAACACTACCAACCCGTGAAACATAGGATACACAAAAATTGCATAATAATAGAGCAAAAGTGAACCAAAACACAAATTTTATCAAATAAACTAGGTTCAAAAACACCCTAAAATCATATCAAATAGCAAGTTATCATCCACCCGGACACCGACTATGCCTTCTTCGACTTGAGGTACAAATACGCAACAGAGGTATTTGATACTCAAGTCCTCGGGCTAAAGCAGCCGGCGCCCTTCGAGGAGTGGGCCGGCATAGGGGATGATCAGGCAGAAGAAGAAGTGCCGGGTGGGGAAAAGGAAACCCAACCCCAGCAAACACAGGATGCCCCTAATGCCGGTCAGGGCTAGCAACCGGAGCAGCAGCCACAGCAGTAGTAGGATGCAAAAATTTTCTTTCTTTTTACCGGACCACGAGCCGTGAATTTCTGTATCACTTTCCCAGACAGGGGTCCAGTTAACATTTTAATTTAATTTATATATATATGCCAACTGTGTCGGTTGCCTTTGTTCATTTTTTGCTTCAATTTTTTGCAATTTTGCTGTGAATGAAATTTGCTATATACCGGATGCTTATGCTATGTCTGACCCTGGACGATTGTTTGCTTATGGTTGCCAACTCTAAGTAGGCAATCATCTATAATCATCTGGATGAAAGAATAGGTGGTTTTTGACCGTTATACAACAGGACTGAGCCAAATTGATTATGCCGGCTGCGCCGGCTGAATCAAACTAAGGTCACACGCTTGCCCGGCTGCAGGTTTATTGAAATCGTAGCTGGCTGTAATGCTTTTTGGCAAAAGCCGGTTACGTACTAAAATACAGATTACCGCCTGCACTGCGTTGGGGCAATAGCGGGGTGTAATCTATGAAGATTCACCGGCTGTATTGCCTTGGGGTTATAGCCGGTTGTTATCTATGTTTATAATTCACCAGGTGTATTGCCTTGGGGAAATAGCCAGGTGAATTTTAAAGTCAACAGGGTTGTACTTCAGTATGGAAGCTAGGGCCGGCTGTAGTGCTTTTTGGAAAAAGCCGGCCGCTTAACAAGACTTAATTCACCGTCTGTATTGCCCTTGGGGCAATAACCGGGTGTATCTTGATTGTGATAGGTCATTCAAACGGCCATTGGTTATCTTTAACTAAACCGGTTAAAGCCGTTCGAGTTTATGACGCATAGAACAATGTACCACCCGGAAGGGAGATGTTCTCTTCGACGAATTCACCCGGAAGGGCGTCGCCAGATGCCTGTTCATGGTTAGAGCAGGCGGTTTAAAATATACTGGCCTTGGGCCTTTTAAATAGCTAAGTTAGGTACCTAGCTTTCTACTCATTCTGAGCAAACGGGTGCCCGGTTGTGCATCGCACAAGTGGGACTTAAAAGGTGCCTGGTTGTGCATGGCACATGGGACTTAAAAGATGCCCGGGTGTGCATTGCACATGGGACTTAAAAGGTGCCCGGTTGTGCATGGCACATGGGACTTAAAAGATGCTCGGATGTGCATTGCACATGGGACTTAAAAGGTGCCCGGTTGTGCATGGCACATGGGACTTAAAAGATGCCCGGGTGTGCATTGCACATGGGACTTCATACAAAAAATTGAAATAAAGTATTCTTTTCATTCATTTACTTTATTTACAAGAATATTTACAATCTCCTTAGAAGTAGTACTTTTTCAAGTTATCTACATTCCAGGTTCTGGCTAACTACCTGCCGTCTGGTGTTTCCAAGCGGTAGGTGCCACCTCTAACTTCTTCAAGAATCCGGTAGGGGCCTTTACAATTAGGGGTTAGCTTTCCTTGCTCATTTGCCCTACCGATTGCTTCCATTTTACGTAGCAAGAAGTCCCCCACTTTGAGGGGCTGCTTGTGTACTCTTTTGTTATAAGCCCTTGTCATTCTCAG